TATTGAATAACAGCCATTTAAAGAGTATATATATATAAAGTATAACGATTATTTAATCTTTAAACGCGTTTTTCTCGAAACAGCATTTTCCAAATTTGCTGCAGCGATTACTCAAAAACAAATGATTCGATCACTATCAATTTTTTTACATGTTTTATATATAGTTCTCCGTAAAATGAACTATCGATTTTTGATCGGATCAAAAATCAAATTTGGCAGTCCAAAAACGACCAAAATTTTGGGTAAAATTCGACTTTTTTTTTAAAAAACGCCGTCATTTTATCAATTTTTGATTTTTTTTCTCTATCATAGTTCATTTTACAGACAATATTATCTAGTTTAACGAGATTTTTTTTTCAAATTTCATCCACGTAGAAGGCCGGAATCACTGCAGCAGTGAAGGGCCTTTTTTTGTCGTGCTGTTGGAGATCGACGATAACTTAAAAAATATTTAATTTTTTTCTTTAAAATTATTACTCTGTATTCTTAAAACATGTATAAATATATTCCCAAAATTCAGAACAGATTGATAAAGTAGTTTTTTTAATATAAATTCCCAAAATTCACCTTTTTAGGCGGTTACACTAGTTGTGCCCCTTAATGATTTTCAACGTGAAAACTTCATTCATTCAAAGTGATTACAATATATTAAGTTTGTTTAATAAATGATCATATATGATAGATGTAATGATGACAATGCTATGCAAATATAAATTATGTAGCATAACAATGAAACCGATAGAAATTTAGTGGTAATTAAATTTGGCGACAATACTAACGACGAACTAATAATAATTGGTCCTATGTCTTCTGCAACAAGAGTGCTTTGCATGGTATTTGCATGGTTACAAGACAGTCTTTTTTTATTTTTGATAAATTATTAAATATTTATATTTAATGGATTTGAAGGGTTGTTAATTGAATTTTGTTAAATTTTGAAATTTTTTACTAGCTGTCTGTCTATTATCAACGACAAGGCGTAGACACTTTCTGAACGCAATGCGAATGTCTTGTAATGTAATTGGAGCGTTACAATTTCATAATATAATATAATATCACGTGTGATAAACCTACAGATAATATGAAATATGTGTTGAATTAAATACATATACATATACATAACACAAATTGTAAAAAGACCACCCGAAACTAATAAGTTTCCAATATCACAGTGTCCAATTTTCATACTTGAATATGTTAAATTGTATGGTCTGATTTTTGTTTTTAAACTGAACTCTGAGCTAATAAAATTACTAACAAAATTAATAATATATACTAGATGCATGACATGCTAAATATATTTTTACGACGTAATATTAACGATTTTTATGATTGTCCTAAGTAAAACACGAGCTTTTCAAATATAATGCCAATAACAGTCTCAAATTATTATAGTTCCGGATTTTTTTAAAAGCAATATTTATCCCATTGTCAATATTTATTTTAACTAGAATTTTTTTTATAAAATTTGTACCCATTTAAAGCAATATTACTTACTAAAGTTGATTATGGACAACATTGTACTGAATTTAATATCTATACAAGACTTTATACTTAATGAGTCAAAGTTGATATATGTACACTAAGTAACTTCGCACTATTTATTATACATACAAGTGTATCAAATGATTCAAAATATTAGCCTTTATTCTTTATTATTCATCAAAGGATAAACAATAATAAGTACAAAAATAATCCTGTTAATTTCTTGCTAGTTTTTAAAAAATTTGGTTTTACAAAGTCCGGCAAATGTGTAATAGCGCGTTTGCCGTCAACCTGGAACGACGTGCCAAATCAGGTTAAATGCACAAAGCCCGGAAAGTCGCGGAAAAAGAAAATACTTATAAATATTACGTGAAAAAATATTCTCAAAAATTTAATTTTAAAATGAGATATGTTAAAAATGAAAAAAAAACATCTTAAAAATAAAATCTGTACAAAATAATACAAATCAATAACTTGAAATCAGTTTTTGCTATATGATGGTTAAAAATGGCTTGCGAAAATTGAAAGTGTCCATTCTTATCCTAAAAAATTGGCTGAACTACAAAAATTGACAAATATTATAAATATTATATATGTATATATATATATATATATATACATATATATATATATATATATATATATTTATATATATAGTATTATTTAATAGTTCTTCTTACCTGAGCTGCAATTGCAACAAGATCGACGATTACTTTAACAGCCCTTTTAGATTCTTTACTGCCTCGGGATAGTAAACCTAAAATAATTTAAATTATATATAAAAATACTTAAAAAAGTTATCAACGTGAGGAATTTGTGTTTTTGAAACGTTACTTGCTATATAAAATCAATATCTATACTTATGAATATACCTATAAAACAAAAGCTTATAGTTAGTTTTGGTTCTCATTTTTTGAGAATGGTGATAAATTGTATTAATTAATATATTATGTAAATGAGTCTAATTGTTTTGAACCAAGTCCAGAAAGTTGATGTCTTTTTATAGAGAGATTCCATAAATGTATATTCCATACTTATTTAAAATAAAACACACTTTTACCACCAGTATGAATTGGTATTTTTAATTAGTATTTTATTATTTCTTAATTATAAAAAGTACATATCTGCACTATACTTGAATAAACAAAACGATGGTATTTAATTTTTAATTAACATCTTATTTTTCTATACATTTTTTAAATTTATTAAAAACATGAGAAGATATATCAAATATTTCAAAAAAAAATAATATTTTATCCAAAACTAATATTTCTTATAATTTAAAGATAAGAACATTTTTATATGTTCTAGTATAGATATTTCAAGAAATCTTTTTTTTTATTGTTTAAGTGTAACTCTTTAAAAATATATATAGAAGAGGGTTTTTTAAAATTAACGTTATTTTAGGAGATAAAGCTGTTAGATCACAATATTAATTCTCTCTTTAGGAAAATGTTAGACGAGTTTTTCTCGAAACTGTCTTTTTCGATACGATACCTACGATTTCTCAACTTCTACTGAACCGATTTATTTGAATTTTTTAAAGACTCTTCTTTAGAGATTTCTCTTCAGTATGACCTAGACTAAACCCACAATTCCAATTTTTACTATTTTTAGAAAATAATAATCCTCTGTTTCAGCGGAATTTTCTCGAAACTATCTTATTCAATATGACACCCACGATTTCTCAATTTTTACTGAACCGATTTACTTTAAATTTTTAGAGAGTCTTTTTTATAGACTTCTCTTCACTAATACTATTCACTATTACTATTTTTAAAAAATAATACTCCTCTGTTTTACGAAATTTCAAAGGAATTATTCTCGAAACAGTATTTTTTGATACGATACCCATGATTTCTCAACTTCTACTGTAACGATTTACTTCATATTTTAACTAATTTTTTTAAATAAATCTCAGTTTAATATAAACTATAATTCATCCTCAAAATCCAATTTTTACTATTAAAAAAATTAAAAATATCAAAAAAATTGTACAAAAAAATGTTAAGACAGTTTAAGCCAAGCAAAACAAAAATTTTACTTGTCCTTAGTTTATTAAAATAATAATAATAAAAAAAAATATTAAGATTATTTTGAGGGCGAAAATTAGGTGTATGGTCACGTGACCTTCCACTTCATCACCTGTAGGAATTAAATTTTTTTGACTGTTTTCAATTTTAAATATCTTTCTCAAAACATTAGTTAATAACATGAAAAATAGATAGTACATTTTTTTCAAAAATTACAAAGTTGCCTCTTGACTAGAATACACCCTTTTCGTACTCAAGCGCCACGTAAGAAAACCGTTTGCTCGCTTGCTTCAAAATACTGTATCAATTTCCTTACAAAACTATTTCCAAACCCTGTCCTCAACCCTATCGTTTATAAATCGGACACATTAGACAAAATTCCTCCATATATCTTCTCCCAAAATAAAACAGACCAAATAAAACTTACCAAAGACGCCGGGCACGAAGCACATGCAATTCGTTAACATGGCACCTTTGACAACGTCCAACTCCGGCAAGATAACGTAAATAAATAAGGCCAAGCCTATTGTGTGCATTGTCTCCATGAAGAACGCCTGCAACATAATTGAAAATATGTTTATTGCCTCGTAATGCATAAATCACAATGATATATTGTTTTGGCGACCGCTGCGAAACATAAGAGAGGCTGATCGCCATTGATGGATGTAGATCGAGATTGAATTAATACAGAAAGACATGGGAGATCGGGGGAAAAAATCATATTAATACACATACTAAATGTTATATGAAAAAGCTTACTTAATAGACAATTTAGCTATTAGAAGAAATACACAAGTTTTGCCTAAATTAATTTTGGCAAAGTGGCAATTATAGCTATTTTAAACTGAAATGCGAACTTGTGTACTTTTCTAATTAGCAATATTTGATTTTATGACATTTTTCTACGTTTTGTCAAATAATTTGGAAAATTTATTCTGGGCATTATAATTTGTTTGCATTGGTGGAAACTACATAAAAAATTTACTAAAATATAGTAAAAACTTTTATTTCTACTTGTATATTAAAATTTTGAATAATTCGCAATTGAAATGCGCACTTGAGTATTTTCCTAATTAGCAATATTTAATTTTTGAACATTTTTCTACATTTTGTCAAATAACTCGAAAATTTTATTCCGCATTTTCTAATTTATTTACATTATCAAAAACAAGATAAAACTAGTGGGGTGTATGGCATCGTGTCTTAAGGCAAATTGCTGGAACTTTCCGTACCTTAACAAAATGTTCGAGGAATACTGAATGTTTTCAAATAGATTATTATAAATATTGTAACATTATTGTAATTATTTTCGATATACAAAAAAAATACAAAAAAAAAAAAAATTATACAATTTTTTTTTCCAAAATCAATAATTTTCTTAAGACAAGCAGAAAGTTTTTTGAATCATTTAAATCGAACACTTAGTTCTTTCAAAAACTGCCATTTTTTACATATTTAGCTCCGTAACTTCGAAATCGCTGGGCCTGCCTTTGCCAAAAACTAATAAACACTTCTCCCAATCATTACTAATTGAATGTTTTTTAGATCATTGAAATCGGATATTCCGTTCTCTCAAAAAGTCGATTTCTATTTTCTGCACTCGTTGCTCCGTATCTCCGAAACGGCTGGACCTGCCTTTGCCAAAAACTAATCAGCTCTTTTCCCTATCAATAGGAATCGAATGTTTTTTGAACCATTCAAATCGGTTGATCCGCCCGAAAACGTGACTGGAAATTTGTATCCATACATACATATATACACACACACACATACACACACACACATCCATTTTTTCTGAAGTATGCCAAAACGTTCAGAAACCTTCAAAACGTCGAGAAATGTAAACATTTTCAATTACGATTTTCGGCCCATTATAATAACTTACCCTACGGGAAGTTAAAAATGTACTAAAATCTAGTAACAACTGTTATATACACTTTGATATTAAAATAATGAATAATTCGTAGTTGTAATGCTTTAGTATTATGGATTATTTAGTATTATATATTATAGATAAGTATTTATTACCCCGGTTTTCTCTAAAAGTATTATTCGTGAAAAGGTGCTATTGTTAGCCAGATAAAAGACAATAGGGTCCGATCGAGAGGGACATGAAATTATGTAATCGTCTATTATCTACATATTAAGGCGCCGTTTAAATTTATAAGCTGGTACACAACATGTTACAACACTTCTCTTTTGCAGATATATGGGTTATTGTCATTTCTTGAATTAGAATATATCTTATTCGAATACGATATCTAACACTATTACGTAATATTACTTACAATTGCAAATGAAAGTAAAATTATAATTGAGATTTAATTTGTCTACTGATACACTTTAAAATGATGCCTCAAAGTACAAAATTGCAAGATATTTAAAATTGCTTTATCTCACCATGAAGAATTCAGTAGAAGATGGTTTCTTGAAGACTTTGAAGTAGCAAATTCTTGCAGATCTGATGAGTGTTCCCATTTCTGGGACAGCAAATGCAAACAAGAGCACCCACATCCATGCGATTCGCTCTTCTTCAGGCAAAGTTGTCACATATTGTTTGTCCCTAACTGGAAATAGGAAAAAAAAAAACATAATAATAGAGCGTAAGATATATGAAAAAAAAAGTATTGTGTATCTTTCAGTAAAGAGGCGTAATATATATCTGGCTGCAAAGAAGCTGTATTCAACGTATGTTTTTATAATTTTTTTTATCAAAATGCTCAATCCTTCAAGTTTTATAAATGCAACGCCAATAAATACAATTTTTATCGCGCCCATATAAAACTGCTGCTATCATCGCAATAAAGTTGCCGTTCGTATCGTAAAATACCGTAGTCATGTTCGAAGGATTACACATTAACGTGTTTTTCTCAACTTTTATTTTTACATGAACCCTGCAGAAGCAAAATTTATATACAGGACCTAAATCGCCGAGTGTCCAATAAAATATTAAACGACCATTTGCCTGAGAGTTGACCTTTGACTCGGCCACGTTGAGAAACAGACTAGAATACAGAAATATATTTCATATCTGAACTGAGAAATAAATGGAGAGCTGGGGAAATATTAAAATGATAATCTGAAACATTTGCTCGAAGCGTAAGGATATATATAAAATATAATTAGGCTGTATTAATAGGAGGATATGGTGCGGCACTAAGGTCCAATTTAACTCTATGTTACAACAAAACTACATCAAACACATCAAAACAAACAAATAAAAGTTGTGTCATATCTTTGCTTGTACATATTATTAAAAATTTTCTAGCAGTTTCACGCATTGCAATAAAATTTTAAAGACCTGTGCGTTTGTTTTGATCATTATAACATTTCACTTTTTTCGCAAAAAACATCCAATTTACATATCTATATTCTTAAGCATAAATTTTAATAATTATTCTATTTTATCACGATAATTTCTACTATTTTTCTCCTAGCTTTCATTTTAATTTTAAAGTACCTGTTTTATTTGCTGCCGGCCATTAAAACATGAAACCAAGCATCTTCTTCCTACGTATAGTTATGTCTGTTTTACATTTTTGACTTAGAAATTTACGATTATGTTTCTATCAATGTTACATACAGTATTTTCCTTTAACTTTTGCACTAAAGGACAGTTACAATATCAAGAAATTGCGGAAATATAGAAATAACACGACGGAAACTTTGTTCCCAGTCGACAGGTACATTTAAAACCACATGGGGTAGAATAAATATTGAATTGTAAAGTACACTTTGTAAATGAAATGTAGAATGATGTATTTATGGATACAGAATATTATTTACTCGTATGCAAAAATTGTATTATTAGACTGGTGCAAATTGATTTACTTAAAAATGCATTATAGAGAAAAAAATAAATATTTTTCCTTGTGTACTTACTAGAGAAAATATAGTATATTATTGTATAATTTATATAATAATTTTATTTTTTTTATTAATATTTTCAGTACTAATAAGTTTGTATAATAATGTACTAACTAGTAAAGTATATTTTTACGTTTCCACTCAAAACTTTTGAACTAGTTGCAGAATATATGTAAGGTATTAAGAAAATTTATCAAGAATTGAATAATCTTTGACATTTTCTAAAATCATATCGACCTCAATAACTTTTGGCTTCCAGAAATTACAATTGAAAAACGTGATTCTTACTAATTTTTGAAAGATTTCGACGCGCAAATCGATGATCGAACACAAACCCGCATAATCAATTTTATTTTATTTATACTAATTTAATTTTTTAACTGTTTAACATTTATAGTATTTTTGATGAATTTGTAAAATAAAATAATACTCTAAAGGTATCTAAACACTCTAAAATTATTTTTAAAACAAATGATCTTGTAAATATTTTAGAACAATGTTTCTGGTCAGAGGTAAAATACTTTTAATTAAAAAACAATTTCAATAATGTAAATTAATATAATTTATCATTAAAGTAATTTTAGTATAAAATTCTATTAATTAAGTCAGTTTATTTAAAGCTATTTGTAATATTATTATTAAATACTTAAAATAATATTGAAAATAATCCAGATATATCTTTACCCAATCTTTGACTTAAAATCTTGAAGATAAAGTAATTAATCAGACAAACGACGTTAAATTAACCGAAATTGTTACTTCAAGTAAGTTATTGAATACTTTTATTTATAATATTTACTAAAAATTAATTGGATTTTTTGTGCATATGTGTATGTGCAAAGGTCATATTTATTTTAAATTAATTACAAGAATAATAAATGTGATGTCATTAAATGAGGAATGAATCAATGTCAAGTTATTTTCAACTCACATTTCTAGTCATAACTTTTACTTTCGAACAAATAGTCAAACTTAAATCATTTTATTCATATAAAAATAACATTAAGAAAATTATTGGTAATTTCGATACCATAAAATACATCATTATATATAGTACTTCACAATTTTATAGGTATTTATGAATTTAGTTTTTATATGAGAAAATATTAAACCAGAAACAACTAATTAGGCAAAATTTACTTAAATAATAAAATGTTTATATTATATATTAATTATTAATTTTTTTTAATAATTATATATTTACATCTTTTTTATTGGCACAAATATTTTATATGTTAAACAATAAATTCAGAGGCGCGTAAGCGAATGTAAAATGTTTTATTATTGATGTTAAAATAATTATTATTTAAACAAAAAATATTTGATTAATTACTTTATTGCAAATATTGATTTTTTTAGTTATACCTTGTCGTACATTACGATTATTTAAATAAATGAGCAAAAATTTTGAAAAAAAAAAACCTTTTCAGCAACCTTACATAGAACTTAATTTGAAATATTTATATTCGTTTCTATTAAAACTCCATAGTATTTTTTTTTTATCTTTACATTTTTATAAATATGATCCACACTAATTTTATAGGAGTGAATATTTTTTTTATTTTTTTTATATCATAAATCAACAAGATTTTAATTGCATAAAAGAGAGTCAATCGCTAATATTTTCAAAAATCTAGTCATAAAAATACAATTTTGTAATTTAAAAAAAAAACAGGAATGTAAATCAATTATTAGCTTATCAATAGTAAATATTTTTTTTAAATTAAATAAATGTTTAATAAAAAATATATAAATTGTCTAGTTTATTATTTTTAGCCTAAAAATGTTAGAACGAAAATGTGAATTTCTAGCAAAAATAGTGATAAAAATAATAATTCAAATAAAAATTTAATAAAAAAAAATTATAATATTATTAGAAAAGACTGGATATTTTTTTTATTTTTATAATAAACTAGCCGGCCCGACAGACTTCGTCCTTTTCTTTTTCTATTCTTTGCAAAAAATTATCCTCAACAGAATCGTCACCCTGGTAATAATTCGGTGTGAATTAAAAATAATTAAATAAAACACTATAAGCATTTAAAAGTAAGTAATTTTAATTATGTAAATCATAATTCAAAAATCAGTTCAATTTTCATTGTAGTGCTTTGTGATAAACAATGTTTTTTGTTTGATTACCTGGCGCATAGACAAACAAATCTGACGGTTTTCCAATACGGGAATAAACAACATACAATTTTCCATGTGCGAAACATGGGTTTTCTAAATTAATACCACAAACACTTAATGATACCATAAACGCACTGGAAACGCATTGGGATGCATGATGCGAGAACATCTTCTGCTTTATACTATCCTTTGAATATAGTTTGTCGATATTTCGCAACATTATAATTGCCGATCCAACATTTAATTGAAGATTGTGAGGTGACAATCCTAGCAAATCCAGCGAGTTTAAAAACTCCGGTGGATCGTCTTGGTTAGTTGCCGAATCAACTGATTCGCCTCTAATTTGTTCTTGAATTTTGAAATTTAATTTAATGTTTTTGGCTACCAATATAACTTGATTAATAGAAAGATATTTCTATGTTTATATAAATATATTCAAAATTAGATTATCAAAAACTACACAAAATGTCATGACATAGATCTTTGTTTTTTTTACAAATTGCATTGCCTACTCGATTAAAGAAGAAAAGGGCTGTTTTTAGGGTTTTCCCGGCAATTATTCGTTTTTTTCTCGCCGTAACAACCATCTTCGGACTTCAACGAACATTTTAGAAAAAGAATTGGCCAAATTGGTCCAGGCGTTGTTGAGTTATGCGCTTACCAACACATTTTGCGATCCATTTTTATATATAAGATTAAAGTTGTCCAAAATGTGGTTTATAATATTAAATAGAGAATTCTGTATAAATTTTGTATCTTAAAATAGTTATGACATAAATAAAGATAGTTTTGCCTTCCTTTATATGATAAAAGTAACATAAATAAATAATTGTATAAATTTAATATTGAAAATAAAGTAATTAAATAAATTTTTAATATAAATTAAATAATAAAAATGTTTTTATAAAAATTATACATAAAATAATAAAAAAAATAATATAAATATTTTTATAAAAATTAGATAATAAAAATTTTTATTATATTCCTAACAAATATAATAAAAAAATATTCTGTAAATCTGTAGAATGTAAAAATATGAAAATCGACACTTGAATATTAGGTTAACGCTTAATCCAATTTTTTTGAATATTGTTGACACATAAAGTAACATCAATCATTGTTATATCTAATAATATAAATAATGTTAATAGTAATAATTTCCATAAACATTGCAAAATATATATACATGTGTGAACCATCGTATCACTTTTAGCACAGTAAACTTTCAATCACGATTTAGTGATTATTTATTTATATTTTGCATTATTGCGTTATTCACTATATAACATATAGCTCGTGATTAACAAGTGATCTTTAGCATATAATTTTAAACGAACTTTACAATATATATATATATATATATATTTATATAATATTATTTATAATTTTTTCCTTACCCATGTCCTTATTACAGTATTCGATTTTCCGATCCCTCCTCAGCTGTGAGGTCATAAATAAAAGGCTGCCTTTGGCTATGACCCCAGACACGAGGACTATTACAAATGTGACCAGATATGCTACAATTTTCAAAATTTTCACACTGATTTCGAGACAGGCCTGGTTTGCCATTGACCCGCTGTCCGCCTTCGACGGAGGGTTCCGAAAGACGTCCCATCCTTTGGTCTCGGAAACCGTTCTTTGGCTGAAAAAATAGAAAAAAAATAGAAAAAAATAGAAAAAAAATTAAATGAAATATAAATATAGTTGTTTTGAAGATTTACAACTATTAGCATTATTGAATAAAAACCTTAATATTTAAGGAGCCGTTTATTAATCACTATTTAAATAGGAGAGGTGTTAGAGACAAATTCACAAAATATCACAAGGGGCTTTCGATGTCTAGTGGGATATCACGGGTATTTATTTTTCAACTAAAATAAAAAACTAGTGGTGTATGGCATTATGTCTTAAGACAAATTGCTGGAACTTCCCGTACCGTAATGAAATATTCGAGGAATATTAAATGTTTTCAAATAGATTATTATACCGATTTTATTATTTTTCAAAAGTGCTATAACTTTTACTATTCATATTTTATGCACAAAATATAAGAGCTTATAAATTAGACCATTACGTTTATATAAGTTTACAAACAAGTAAATAAACTAGTGGTGCATGGCATCATGCCTTAAGGCAAATTGCTGGAACTTCCAGTACCTTAATGAAATGTTCGAAGAACATTAAATGTTTTCAAATAGATTATTATACCGATTTTATTATTTTTCAAAAGTGCTATAACTTTCACTATTCATATTTTATACACAAAATATAAAAGCTTATAAATTAGACAATGACGTTTATATATGTTTACAAAACAGAAAATAAAATAGTGGTGCATGGCATCGTGCCTTAAGGCAAATTGCTGGAACTTCCCGTACCTTAATGAAATGTTCGAGGAAGATTAAATGTTTTCAAATAAATTATTATAAATACTGTGTGATGTATAATGTTTACAGAAAAGTAAATAAATTTTAATCAAAAGAATTTAAAATCAAGGACATTGTCTAATATTTATAAGAATTATATAACTGAATTGCAAAGTTAAAATTATTTATTTAAAGTATGTAAGTGAGCTTTAGAACTTTAGCAAGAATTAATATTAAAAAATATGAACTATTTTCGACATACAAAATTTTCATTTTAATTGATTTTTTTCTCTCTAAAGCAATTGTTTTGCCAACACGAGCAAATAAATTTTTGAACCATTTAAATCGGATGCTTTGTTCTCTCAAAAACTGCTATCATTTGCACATTTAGCTCTACATCTCCAAAACAACTTAACCTGCCTTTGCTAAAAACTAAACATAACTTCACCCCATAATTACGAATTGAATGCTTTTTGGATCATTCAAATCGGATGCTCCGTTCTCTCAAAAAACTCGATTTCTATTTTCTGCACTTTTTGCTCCGGATCCCCGAAACGGCTAGACCTGCCTTTGCCAAAAACTATTCAGCACATCTTCCTATCAATAGGAATCGAATGTTTTTTGAACAATTTTAATGGGTTGAGCGGTATTCCCAAAAACGTCGACGAAAAATTGTATCTATACATATATGTATACACACACATCCATTTTTTCTAAGGTATGCCAAAATGTTTAGAAATCTTGAAAACGTCAAAAAATGCAAAAAAAAATAATTTTCGATTTTTTGCGATTATTATAACTTACCCTACGGAAAGATAAAAATAATAAAAATTTTCAAAAAATATACAAAAATTTTACCATTAATTCTAGGTACTAGGAAAGGGGTAGTAATTTTAAATATCACCAGGTCCAAAAATCTTTAAAAAATGATCACGTAATCAATAGACGCCCTAAAATTGGCTTAATTATGAATTTGTATAATACAGATTTTATCATATCAAATTAAATAGTCAAATTAATACTATTTCGTAACTTTGACAAAAGTTGGAAAGTAAGCTCACATACAGTAAAATTTTTATGGTTATACCTATATTATATTGGATGAGTTACATTTTAAATTTACAATGACACCAAATGATTTAATGCACCCAATATTAATTTATTGCTAATTTTATTCCTTTTCACACTACACCGATAATCTACACGATTCTCAATTAATCTTGCTAATAACAAAGTAACCTGTAGTAATAAATAACAAGTGCTTAAATATTTATATATACAGTAAATCAGTTTTAATAAGTGATATACGAGTCTGAGACGCTTTCCTAAATCCAAAAACGAGTTTGAAAAAAAAATTCAGCATCAGGGTCAACTTGTAATTCAAGGCGGAGAGAAATTAAATAATTCAGAGCAATTTTTTTTCTCAATACGACAGTAATAATAATTATGTATGTAGATATTTTGGAACAATTTATTAGCATAATAGACTGAGATCTGGTTGACTCTAATAAAAATTAAGATTTATATCAGTGTTGCACCCAATTTGGATATAAATGTATATAATGAATAAATCAAATAATAAAATCGGTTTAGTAGTTCAGAAGTTCATACAGGACAAACATCGTGACACGTTCTTCTCAAAAAAATTAACTTTTGACTCTTTAAATGCAATAATGGAAACTTGTTCGAATAAACATACTTTTTGTTTCTTGCTTTAGACTTTATCCAAAATACTCTAGAAAATGTTTTAAATCAAAATTACTTCAATAAAATTCTTACAAATTTTTATACTCTATATCCTATTATTTTTATTATTGTTTTTACCAGCTATCTCTCTATTAGTTACCTACTTTTAAATCGATTCAAATTAGGTTTAAAAATTAATCAATACAAAACTTGATTGATCGAAATTAATTAAAGTAGCTTCCTCTGACATAGTGATTAAAAGAAATCGAAATTTATGATTATTCATATGGAACACTTTGATTACATGGCATAATTTATATGTCGAAACTTTCTACTGTGCATAGAATTAAAAGATTAATTATTTTTGAATGATTTTCATTTTTTCATTATTAATTATATCTGTTAAGTAGTTTCAAAAATTTCGTCAAGAAGTTTTCCAAATACTCCGTTTAAATTAATTCTATAGTAATTGTATTTGCTAAATTTTTAGTTCGGTCATAAAATAAATTGTCTCTATTTTAGTCTATAAATTCAATATTTTAAAATACATATGGTGTGCAAAAATTTTATTAATTCTATATATATTTCACATGAATCTTTTATTACCTGTATACAGTATTATAATAAACCGATGGAACTCTCGACACAACCATTATCACAAATATCTCTATCCCCTAATATCATAATAAATCACTAAAATTTTCAATTTTTCTTATAATAATTTACTTTAATTTTTCACTTTAATTTTTTTTATCGTCTGCATCACAAAGTCGACTTGCAACAACTAAAATGCTAATAAAAATAATAATGCAATAAAGGCAACGGACGCCTTGAAGAATGCATTTTCTAATGAACAATTTTCGTATTTAATAATGCAATAATAATAATGATATAGAACGATATTATATAATGATGAAAATAATTATTGCAATAGTAAATGTAGTAGTAGATAACATGGAATGGAAGTACATTTCTGGTATTAGTTTATTATTTTATAATAATCGGTTGGTGAAGTAATCGATTTGTGTAATAGTAAAAAAATAATTTTGTATACCTGATTTTATAATATTAGTTTGTACATTTTTTTAAGGAATTTAATTTAATTTTTTAACACAAAATTTGGGATGTTATACATTATATTTAAATAGAAGTATTAGAATATTTTATATAGCTATTTTAAGACTAAACTAGTAGTAGTAGAGATAGAATATTTATGATTTACTAACAATATGTATTTTATATAATTCAACACAATAAACGTATTAAATCTAAGAAAACTGTATTTACTATTAATTTTAATAATACGTCTAAAATTTTACTGAAGGTGATTATTACATATTATTTACGGTTATAGCTATTATTTTTTAGATAATTCCAGAGATCATAAATTTTCTAAAACAGTATCCAAAAAAATATCAATAAGAAAAAATAATATAGAAGTCAAATAAAGCAAATGAAAAGTCAAATATTTACTTGTCTAATAAACGGTTTTGGTTTTCTTTAAAATTGTGGTAGGTCACTTTTTCGCTTTTACTTTGGTTTGGAGTTAAATTTAATTAGCATGTATTTGTGAAATTGTAAATAGAATTATATAAAACGTATATGGATTCTTAAGCTTTGAAATAAAAAATCTTGATAAAGTCCAAGATAAGAAATCTTGGATAAAAACTTGGGTAAAATCTCTATTTAATTTTTTGTTTAAAGTCTATATTTTCTATTTAAAATTATACAAAACAAAGAATCTAAATTTTGTGATAGAAAAATTAAGAAAAATCTGAGGAAAATCTCATTGCAGTTTTTTGTTTAAAGTCTGTTTTTTTAAAGTCAATACGTGTCCAATTTAAGAAAAGTATGCAAGAAACAGTAAAAAGATTAAATTTTTTAAGTGAAAAAGTACATTTTTTTAAGTAAATTTATTCAAAGTCGATCTATTTTGCATATTTTAAATTTATAGTTTAACAAATTATGACAATATTTTTATTTGTGGTTCTAAAAAATTTTACTTACGATTCAGAGTTTATATGAGCAAAAATAATAGCAAAAATTAACCACAATAACCAAGAAATGATCCACAAATTTGACTAAAGCACTTAAAAGCTCATAATTTTCAAACTTTACGAAATTTTTTTTTCTAATTTTTTTCATGGTTTGATGTTGAGTTCTGGGACACCCTCCGTATATATAAAATACATATTTAACAGCAACCCCAAACAGTTGTCTTATCTATATGTAGTAAATTTATTAAAACAATTTTTCAAATCTCTATAAAATAAAAATTATTAATAACAAATGATCAAGTGGCCAATTTAACCTTTTCCACTCGCAAATTCCGACATTTATAGTAATAAAATATTATATTATTTTTATTTGTGATCTTACTTATGTTATTTACGTTAAAAATTGACCACAATACCCAAAAAATAATTAAAAATGCTGATAATTTTTAAACTCTACGAAATATATATTTTTGTTTAAATTTTTTTCACGACTTCGGTTTGACATTGAGTTCTGGGATACCCTGCGTACATATAAAATACATATTTAATAGCAACCCCAAACAGTTGTCCTATCTCTATGTGATAAATTTATT